ACCCCCCCCCCCCCCCCCCACACACACACACTTCAAATGCCAGCTGAAAGCCCAGGTTGTCACCTGTACTTCTAGCCAACGGCTATAAAGCAGAGGTTCCCAAGACCACCGCCTCAGGTTCAATTAGTAGAGTGGCTCCCAGAACTCAGAGAAACGTTCTACTTGCTGGATTACCATTTATTATAAAAGGATATAACTCGGGAACAGCCAGACAGAAGAGACATATAGGGCAGCTTATGTGGGAAGGGGCTGGGAGTTTCCATGCCCTCTCCAGAGGCTCCACTCTCTCCCCAGATCTCATCCTGCTGGTCAACTCTGTCCTTTGAGGTTTTTATGGAGGCTTTGTTTCATAGGCATGGATGATTAAGTCACAGGCCATTAGCAACTGATTCAACCTCCAGCCCCTCTACTCTCCCTGGACTGAAAGTTCCAACCCTCTAATCACAGGGTTGATTCTCCTGCAATCAGACCCCACCCTTAGGTGAGTTTCAAAAGTCACCTCATTAACATAACAAAAACATCTTTATTCCACAAGAGAGTATAGGGGCTGGAGGTTGAATCAGTTGCTAATGGCCTGTGACTGAATCATCCATGCCTATGAAACAAAGCCTCTATTATGTTCACAGAGCACAATTTACAATCGATAAGATTTGGAAACAGCCTAAGTGCCTGCCCATCAGCAGATGAGTGGATTAAAAAACTGTGGTACATCTACACAATGGAATACTACGCGGCTGTAAAAAAGAAGGAACTCTTACCATTTGCAACAACATGGATGGAACTGGAGAGCATTATGCTTAGCGAAATAAGTCAGTTGGAGAAGGAGAAAGATAAGTATCACATGATCTCACTCATTTATGGAATATAATGAACAACATAAACTGATGAACAAAAATAGATCCAGAGACACAGAAGCATCGAACAGACCATCCAACCTCAGGAGAAAGGGAAGAAGTAGGGGGGAGAAAAAATGGGGGAGATATCAACCAAAGGACTTGTATGCATGCATATAAGCATAACCATAACCCATGGACACAGTCAATGGGAGGGGGATGAGGGCATGTGCAGGGCGGGGGCGGGGGGGAGGAACTAGTAGGGAACAGTCAATGGGGGGAAAAAGGATTCATATGTAATACTTTAAACAATAAAAAATTTTAAAAAGAAAAAAAAACACCTTTATCACTCTCAATAATGAGGAAATTGCAAGGGCTTTATGAGCTCTGTGCCAGAAGGCTTATGAAGACCAGATTCATATTTCTTATTATAAATCACAATATCACAAGATGTACAGTGAAAACTGATTTTTCCTGGGCCTCAAATTACAAAAAGAACTGCTTCTCCACAGGGAAATGTCAGATGCTGGAGGTTTGTTCAAACTGTAGAAGCTTCCAGACAAGACACAGGCAGGAAAAAAGTCAAGACAGGCCACTCCAGGGCCATACGGGAAGACGGCAATAACAGGAACAGATGGAGCCATCGGCACAGAAAGGACGTATTGTTATTTGTGAGCCCCAATTCATATCACTGGCATGACTTATACCAAGAATCTACAAGTGTTATAATTCTACAATAGATTACTTTCTCACAAGGGAATTCAGGGTGCTATCTTTCAATTTAATAAATAATAGAGTACAGTAGTCCCCCCTTATCAGAGGGAGATGCATTCTAAGACCTCCAGTCTGAAACTGCAAATAGTACCAAACCCTCCACATACTGTGTGTATTTTA